ATAAATAAAATCTTAAAAAAAAAAAAAAAACCACTCTAGCATTAAGACTTGCTTGTTTAAAATCTCTGTCTGGGAGCTTTATCCCCCCCGTGTTCCACATTTATTGAGTGTCCGAACTACACTAGGTACGGCTACAAGACAGTGCTGGAGTCGGGCTCATTGTGAGGGGGCAAGACCGGATCAGTGAACGGTCAGAGACACGACCTTGCAAAGGGGAACTTGTGGTTGCAGGTGTTATCCTTCCGTGACCTCAGAGCTGCAGTGGCAAGAAGCAGAGAACCTGGGTGAGGGTCCACCTACCACAGTAAAAGTCACCTCACCTCCCCACTGGAGTAAAAGCCCTCTCCAGTGGCCTCGTGTCTGCACCGGCACCCCTTTCTTGCTGATGCTCGAGGAGGCAGCTGTCCAGCCTTTCTCTCTCATAAGGCTGGTCTTGACTTGCCACTGGGCATGGGGTGGGACAAACTTCACCCTGAGGCTGGGCCCAGCTCTGGCTACCAGGCTCCAGCCTGGCCCCCAGGGTAGCAAGTCCCCGTTCCATCCCTCCCTCCTCTAATCAGGAAAAGAAAAAGGAGCACAGAGGGAGTAGCAGTTGAGGGCTTGAATCTGGACTTTGGTAGGTCTTTGTTTGAAGCCCACTTCACTACTTGCTGTGTGACCATGAGCAAATCACTTAACTTCTCTGAGCCTCCGTTTCTTCATCTGCAAAATGAGACTATTAATAGTTTTTACTTCTCAAGATTGGTGTGAGGAGTGGCAATGTCATTAATGCTGATGGCGGTGATTGCTAATACCTCATGCGAGCCATTGTGGCCACTTTATGTACATTAGCTTCTTTCTTCCTCACAGCAACCCTGTGAGCTAAGTCTCATGAGCCCAGTTTGCAGATGAAGACACCGAGGCACCAAGAGGTTAAGGCATTCACTTTGGGCCACGTGATTAATCAGGGGTGGAGCTGGGTTTCCAGCAAGGGCATTCATGCTCTTGCCCGTGTGCTGGACCAACTGTACCTCCTATAAGCCTCAGATCTGCCCTATGGGTAGGAACAATTACTAAATCCATTTTACAGAAGAGGAAACGGAATGTCAGAATAAGTAATTCCCCGCAAGGACACAGAGCTAGAAAGCAGCAGGGCCAGGGCTTGAACCCAGGTGTGTATTCTTTTCACTGCTTACACCCGGGTGCTGCCCCAGGCGCACCTCCGTTCTCATACTCAGGATCCTGGGGTGAGGGCTGGTACTTGGGTGCATTGGTGAGCGGACACGGAAGCACTGTCCTTTGACCGATCTTTGTACAAGTCCCTCCCCCCACCCGCCCCATGCTTGCGTCACTAACACCTTTTCATCCAACAATGCAGCACTACGTACTGTTTAAACTGTATCCACTGGGGCGCCTGGGTGGCTCAGTCAGTTAAGCGTCTGCCTTTGGCTCAGGTCATGATCCCAGGGTCCCGGGATCGAGCCCTGCATCGGGCTCCCTGCTCCACGGGAAGCCTGCTTCTCCCTCTCCCGCTCCCCCTGCTTGTGTTCCCTCTCTCGCTGTGTCTCGCTCTGTCAAATACATAAATAAAATCTTAAAAAAAAAAAAAAAGATAAACTGTTTCCGCTGTGGAGAAGGACGCCCCCAGCCACCTAATTCGCCAGTCTCCCTGCCATCCGTGGCACTTCCCCAGCACCCTTGCAAGAGCCCTGGTCTCAGGGGCACCCACCGCTGGTGGGCCGGGATCATATCTGCACGCAGTCCTCCTCTTCTGGGTCTGCGTGGACACCATCACCCGGCTGGTTCCCGTCCCAGTAGCTGTAGTCACAGGAGGGGCCGTCGGTCCATTCAAACTGCCCTTCCTAGGCAGCCCCATCCGGAGTGCGAGGAGGCAAGCCCGAGAGAGAAAGATCTGGCAATAGCACCAGCCCCACCTCCGGGAAGACACTGTAACACCTCCATGCGCAGCAGAACAGAAGTCCTCACGTGGATGTGAGACACTGTAATTAGCACCACGAAACTGTTTGGTGAAGCCTTACTAGGTGCCACGCCAGGCGCCTTAGCCTCACTGTCCTCCGAGTGGGCATCTGCATCTCCCTTTCAGAGATGAGGAAACCGAGACTCAGACTGGTCCAGCCAAATTCATACCGCTCATAGAGCCTTCCTGCTGGGATTCAAACCCACGTCTGTGACTACAGTACCCAAGACCGTACCTACTACTCCACTTTTTTTTTTTTTTAAGTTACCAGTGGGCAGGGGTCACCCTTCATTTCTTTCCTTTTGTCCAACACAGTGTGTATTCTTCTTGCCCGAGGTGGGACCGCTCTGTCCAATTACAAGAAAACGCCTGTTGGGAATGTGATTGGTGTTAAAATAAATGTGCAAATTAACTGTGGGGAGAACTACATCTTTGCAATGTTCTGGAACACAAGCCGTTTCTGCATTTATTCAAGTTCTTAGAAAAGTCTCCCCCGAAGCACTGATGATTACGGAGGGGGCGTCAGATAATGGAAATAGCATGCCGCCTCTACGAGAGAGTTCTCGAGCTTGCCTGTCCAGCTCTACCCTCTTCTTCCCTGCAGTCTGGACAAGGGGCTTAACCTCTCGGGTCTGTTTCCGCACCTTTACAACGGGGCTAATATCTCCCCCAGAAAGCTATTGTGAGGGCTGACGAAGTAAAGCACGCAAAGGGCTCACAGTGCCTGGCCCTGAAAAGAAAAGTTTAAAAAACAAGCCCTTTGACTGCACTGTTTGTTATTATTATTCTTAAATCTTGTAATACAAGTTCCTTAAACCCCAATTAAGTGTGTTCATCATCCCATTTTATTTTATTTATATGTACATATGTGTATATATATATATATAAGCTTATTTAAGTTCTCTCTATGCCCAATGAGGGGCTTGAACTCACGACCTCAAGATCAAGAGTTGCATGCTCTTCTGACTGAGCCAGCCAGGCACCCCTATAATCCCATTTTATTTTATTTATTTATTTTATTTATTATTTTTTTTTTTAAAGATTTTATTTATTTTTTGACAGAGACACAGCGAGAGAGGGAACACAAGCAGGGGGAGTGGGAGAGGGAGAAGCAGGCTTCCCGCAGAGCAGGGAGCCCGATGTGGGGCTCGATCCCAGGACCCTGGGATCATGACCTGAGCCGAAGGCACACGCTTAACGACTGAGCCACCCAGGCACCCCCCATTTTATTTTAATATTTATTTATTTGAGAGAGAGAGAGAAAGCCCATGCGTACAAGAGGGGGGAGGGGCGGAGGGAGAGAGAAAAATCCTCAAGCAGACTCCCCGATGAGCACGGAGCCTGACCTGGGGCTCTATCTCAGGACCCTGACATCACGACCTGAGCCAAAACCAAGAGCCAGACGCTTAACCGACTGAGCCGCCCAGGCGCACCCTCCCCCCTCACCATGGTCCCATTTTAAAGTTACTATTACAAATAGAAATGTTGTCGGGGTTTTTTTTTTTTTTTTTAATTTTTTTTTTAAGATTTTATTTATTTGCGAGAGAGAGAATGAGAGACAGAGAGCATGAGAGGGGGGAGGGTCAGAGGGAGAAGCAGGCTCTCTGCCGAGCAGGGAGCCCGATGCGGGACTCGATCCCGGGACTCCTGGATCACGACCTGAGCCGAAGGCAGTCGCTTAACCAACTGAGCCACCCAGGCGCCCTGTTGTTTTTTTTAATGACAACTTCTATGTAGTTTCTTGCCAGCTGAATTCTATGGGTTTAAAAGATGTATCTCTGTCGAGTCTGCTCAGTACGGTTACCTCTGCCACTCCGAGAGCAGCCCCAGCCAGCCTAAACGAGCCGTGATCGTGCTCCAAGCACCAGGCTAAGCTCACTGACCTTCTCCAACAAGGCACTACGAAGAAACTGAAGCTCAGAGAGGTTAAAAAAAAAAAATGCCCGAAGTCACCTACCACCCAGTCAGCCACAGGACGGGAGGGGGAACCGGGGCCGGTTCCCCACAGTACCCTGGGGCAGGGCTGGTAGCACACACCTCTCAGAACAGAGACAGTATTCAGCTCACCCAGGGAAAGTCTGGGGACAAAACTTCCAGGTGGAGTCTGCGGTGATATCACCAGGTATAAGATCTGGCGTCAGCTCTCCGTTTTGGCCTAACCCTTCACCATGAATCCATTGACCACTGCCCCGCTCTGCATCCCCGACCCACTGGTCTTTAATGCCCTCGAATGGGTCAGAAGTGCTCACACCTTAGGCCTTTTGCCCATGCTGTTCCCTCTCCCTGGAATGCTTCTTCCTCTGGCTGACTATTTATCCATTAGATAGTAGCTTAAATGTCTCTAACCTAGGGAGGCTGTGGCAGCCATGGAAGGACACTGCCTGGAGCTCCTTTAGGAGGACCGGCTACAGGGAACATGGCTGACTGACCGCCTCAGCTCCCCTGCCCCTTGGGATTCATCCCAGCATTCACAGTGAGACCGGGCTTCCTCCAGGCTGTGCCCTGTCGGTGACTCAGCAAGAACTCAGGGGTGCTAGTGCTGGCCCATTCCTGCCCCATGTGGGCTTCCTCTCCTGGCCCTCCTTTGCCTGCGGACTCCCCACGGGCCTAGCCAAGTCCTTCTCAGAACTCTGCTATAATCAGAGGCTCTTCCTCCCTGGTCTTCCTTCCCCCGCGCCCCTCCCAGGTCTCAGACCCACCTCGCTGTCCGGAGACCTTCCCTGCCTCCTTATGCCCCCTCCTCTTTTTTTCTTCACAGCTTTTTCCCCTCAGAAATCCCTTGCACATCTAATCATATTTTTGTGTCTGCTTTTTCGAGAACTCAGACCCAAACAAAGGCCTCCCCTGACCATACTATGTTCCCATCATAGGCTCATTCACACCACTGTATTCTAACTGGGGCATCTCGGTGTCTGATTTCTCTCCGTGTGCTGGGCACGCAGCAGTGACCTGGCATAGAGGTTCCATGCACAAGGTTGGCTAAATCGAAACGGCGTCTTGGTTGGGAGCTTCCAGCAGTACCTGGTAGTCACGGCTTCCTTACCTGTCTGTGATCATGAAGCCCTGTCCAGACGTCGGCTGGGATCCCAGGCACACAGCTGTTGACAAGGTCATACACAAAGACATTCTCTTCCCAGCTGCAAACGTAAGGAACGCAGTAAGTGGGTTATTCCTTGCCTCTTTTCATAGGACAGAGTTGCAAACTGAAAGCGATCCTTCTTAACCTTCCTGGGCCACAGTAAATTGAGGATCTGATGCAACCCCGCTTTTTCCTTCTTTAATTACATCACCCATACGTGACTGCCCTGCCAGAGGCACCTCTGGATTGGATTCATGCCAGTTCAAGGCAGATCTCAGCACTGCTATTCATCCGAAAGATTTAAATCTGCCTCAAGGGGCGCCTGGGTGGCTCAGTTGGTTAAGCGACTGCCTTCGCCTCAGGTCATGATCCTGGAGTCCCAAGTCCCGGATCGAGTCCCGCATCGGCTCCCTGCTCAGAGGGGAGTCTGCTTCTCCCTCTGACCCTCCCCCTCTCATGCTCTCTGTCTCCCATTCTCTCTCTCAGATAAATAAATAAAAAATCTTTAATAAATAAATAAATAAATAAATAAATAAATAAATAAATAAATAAATAAATCTGCCTCAAAAGCACGAGCAAACAAGGTGGACTCGATTGACAATATCACGAAGAAAAAGAAAGAGGTTTATACCACATTGCGCCCATCAAACAACTTAATGAAAATCTCCACTAGACATTTTTGTTTTTTCTCAAAAGCCCTCCTTTTGCTGCCAGTCCTTACTTACCCTACTAATTTTTTTTCTTGCATACCATCTCCAAAATCTTTTGCTTTCCTGGAAAATTCAGCTCTGGTCTTGAACTTACAGAGCCCACTCCGCAAACCAAAGGCCTCCAGGGAACAGATCACTCTCCTTTAGAAAGTGTCTTAGTCTTTTCAGGCTGCTGTAACCAAGTACCATACACCGGGTGGCTTTCCAACAACGGAAATCTGTTTCTCACAGTTCTGGAGGCTGGAGGTCCAAGATCAGGGGCCCAGCATGGTCAGGGGAGGGCCAGCTTTGTGGTCACAGACTTCTCACTGTATCCTCATAAGGGGGAAGGGGCTAGGGAGCTCTGGAGGGGCCTCTTGCAGAAGGGCACTAATCCCATTCATAAGGGCTTCACCCTCCTGAACTAATCACCTCCCAAAGGCCCCACCTCCCAATACCATCACACTGGGGGTTAGGTTTCAACATATGAATTTGGGAGAGACGCAAAGATTTAGTTCAAACGATATCTATTAAGCAGCTCCCTGAATATGACTGCCTGGAGAACCGTGTCGAGAATGATTCAGAGTGCCAGAAGTCTGAGTGCTTCTGGAACGGACTACTAATTTCTTCCACAAACACAAAATTAAGAAGAATAAACGTGTCTGCTTTGATTTGCTACCAATGGCTCAAGACAAAGGAAATTTAAGAGTGGGCATTTTGGACAAGGCGGCAGCCTCTGGACAGCGGCCATTCAGACGAAGCCAACGAGAGCAGACATGCTTTATAGCAACACAAAGGGTACAGCAACATAGTCCTGTTTTGAAGTGAGTTATTCGTGGGCGCCTGGGTGGCTCAGTTGGTTAAGCGACTGCCTTCAGCTCAGGTCATGATCCTGGAGTCCCTGGATCGAGTCCCGCATCGGGCTCCCTGCTCGGCAGGGAGTCTGCTTCTCCCTCTGACCCTCCTCCCTCTCATGCTCTCTGTCTCTCATTCTCTCTTTCGCAAATAAATAAAAAATAAATAAATAAATAAAAAATGAAGTGAGTTATTCGTTAGGTGTTAGGCCCAAGGCTGATAATTATTACTTCATCATAACTTCTTCAACCCACTAACGTTTACCTTTTAATGCCATGTGGAAGCCAAAAATGGGAATCCCTTGCCCAGTGGAATCTGTTCCTCAGGGTTTGGGAACTACTTGAGTGGAGTGTGCCTGTTGTTCGTCCATTGGCTCTCACCTCCCTTGCCCACCCTCCTGAGCTTGGCCAATGGCATTTTCCAGGCTCGCCGATGTCCAGGCACTGGGTACACCATTACCTTCCTCCGGGGTCTTCCCGCAGCTCCAAGGACCATGTCCCCACATGACTACAAGCCAAGAAGGAAAGGCAGTGATGGAAACTGGGCCTTCTCCACATGCCCGTGTCCATTGATCAGGGAGGAGAGTATTTCCAAGATGCCCCTTACAAACTTCCCCTTACATCCAATTGGCCGAACTGGGTTTTATGGCCAGTGGGAGCTGCAAAGGAGGCTGGAAAGTGAAATCTAGCTTTCTTAACTTCTTACACAGGCAACAGGCAAAGGGATTAGTCGTGGCTGTGGAGTAAGCTACTAGAAGGGTCTGCCCCAGTGCCATTTTGATGTGAGGATTCAATGAGTTCATTGGTACCATACACAAAACACAGTGCTCAGGGAACATGTTAATGATCGAATGGAAATTTCTGTGTGTCTATCTCTCTATCTATCCATCCATCTCCATTTCTTTGTTGTTTTTAGCAGCAGACAGCCTTCAGCATCCTTCACTGATTTTTTTTTTAAAGATTTTATTTATTTATTTGACAGAGAGAGACACAGCGAGAGAGGGAACACAAGCAGGGGGAGGGGCAGGCAGAGGGAGAGGGAGAAGCAGGCTTCCCGCCAAGCAGGGAGCCCGATGCGGGGCTCGATCCCAGGACCCTGGGATCATGACCTGAGCTGAAGGCAGACGCTTAACGACTGAGCCACCCAGGCGCCCCTCACTGATTTCTTTTGTTAGGTGAATTATTTTATAAGCTCTTTGAAATAGGAGGTGAGAATCCCCCAGAAGACACCAATGCCTTCTGCTATGGTTTGAATATTTGTGTCCCCCCAAAGTTCCTGTGTTGAAATCCTAACGCCCAATGTGATCATATTAGGAGGTGGGACATTTGGGAGGTCCTTAAGTGGGAGTGCCCTGATAAAAGAGATGCTGGAGAGCCCTCTCACCCCTTCCACCATGTGAGGACACAGCACAAAGATGGGCCATTTGTGAACCAGGGAGCGGGCTCTCACCAAGAACCCAACCATGGCTGGCACCCTGATCTTGGACTTCCAGCCTCCAGAACTGGGAGGAATACATTTCTGTGGTTTATCAGCCCCCCCCCCCCCCATCTGTAGTATTGTTGCAATAGCAGCCTGAGGAGACTAACACCAATACTATTGGAGGAAATGGAGGGGAAAGAGGGTGAGCGAGGCAGGGCTTGCATGCCCTCGGAAAGATGAGCTGACATGAGAACACTAAGTAAGAACTGAGCCCCTGAGATGCCTAGGGTGATAATAAATGAAACCATTAACAGCTCCCACTGTTGAGCACTCGGCCAAGCTAACTATGGAAGAACTTCAGATGCTTGGTCTCCTTGGTCAGATCATGCGCGGAGGAAGTGATAGAGCTGGGACTGGTCCAGCACTATCTGACTTTAGTGCCCTTAAGGCACATCACATCTCCTCCTGTGGGCTTCTCCATCTGGAACATCTGCTGTTCCCATTCCTTAAGCTTCCTAAATTCTTCAAGGTCCTGATCCAGGACCAGTTTTTCCAGGAAGCCTTCCATGAGCACCCCCTATCCACTCCTGGACCGCCTGGAACACCCATTTCTGACCTCTTAGGGGTAGGCTGGTTGGCTTAGCTCTCTATTTCTCAGGGTCTGGTCTCCCCAAATGGGCCACAAGGACCACACAGACCAATATCAAGTCTTATTTCTGTTTGACATCTTCTCTCTCATGCTGTCAGCAGGCTCGATTCAATATCGATGTTCCAAGAGTGTGTGGTCTGACATGGGAATGATCCAATTTCTGGGGACAAAGTGTTCTTCAGCCCAGTGGGTCGCTGACCTTGGTCCTACCCAGCTGGGTAAGCACTGGCATCCCCCAATGCCTCTCTCGTGCACAATTTGGCTACATTGACTGCTGAACATACATTTTGGTGGATGGCTGCCCAGTCACTTTTAGCGATTTTGCCATCTTTGCTCAACAACACCTGCTTGGGAAACTATTTCAATAATTTATTGCATTTCCCCCATATCTGGTCAAAAATAACAGGAACAGAGAGAGAAGCCCAAGGTGCTACTGCCAGTAATCAGGAGCATGGATCAGATGAACTTAATTCAATTCAACTGTCGCTTGAAACAAAGATGGAAATTATCAGGTAAACAGAAAATTTGAGGATCTTAAGCTTCAATCAGATGCTCCGCGGACATAAACTGATTGTGTGTGTAATTATGAAAGAAAAAAATTGAAAAAGCATGAAAAAAACCACCAGAAATATAGACTCGGGCTGTGTCTCAAAGACAAGATGTAATTAAGGATTTTATAATGGTGTCTAGCTTTATGCAAACTGAACTTCATGTATAATAGATGAATGAATTGTTCAGGTTTAACTTTCCTACATGTCTTCAGGAAAGTATTATATTCCAACATGGAAAACTACCTGTAAAGGAGAGGAAAGGGAGAGACTGTTAGTGTAAGAAAGGCAAGGAGGAGCAGTAGGAGTTGAGAAGACAGGAAGAAGGTAAGTCAAGGCAGAAAAGAACAGGAATTGGGTCAGGGATTGCCGGAAGTCCCCCAGTTTGCCTGGAATCCTTTCTGATGCCCAGCTAACCAAGGTTGAGGTTACAAGCACCATGAGCAGGCTGAGCTGCCCTTCCTCTGGGCTGGCTAAACGGAAATCTTCATTTGGAATTTTGAGAGAGAGAGAGAGCCAGTGCTGGGGTGGGGGGTGGAGGGAGAGATAGAATCTTAAGCAGGCTCCACACTGAGCGTGGGACTCGATCTCACGACCCTGAGATCATGACCTGAGCTGAAATCAAGAGTCGGACACTTAACCAACTGAGCCACCCAGGCGCCCCTGGAATCATTTTATTTTATTTTAATTTTTTTAAAAGATTTTATTTATTTATTTGAGAGACAGACAGAGATAGCGAGAAGAGAGCATGAGCAGGGAGGAGACAGAGAAGCAGGCTCCTGCTGAGCAGGGAGCCCGATGCGGGGCTCGATCCCAGGACCCTGGGATCACGACCTGAGCTGAAGGCAGATGCTTAACCAACTGAGCCACCCAGGCGCCCCAACCCCTGGAATCATTTTAAAAATATACTCTTTATCACATGGATCTCATTTTCCTCTATAGGCTCACAGTTTCTGAGAACTTCTTTGATCCATCCTTGTCAGTGCCAATCCTGCGCTCTGTTCTCTATCACAGGGAATTTGCCCTGAAGACCATTTTTCACCGGTTTTCTTGTCAGCTGACCTGCCCGTGGTGGGAGGCACAGATGAGGGTGGGAGGGAGAGAGAAGCCAGGGTATTTGTCTCCCTCTCTGCCTTGGGAGTCACTGGCAGGGGCTGCCTCACCCCAGTGGCTCCAGATCCTCTAAGGCTGGTTTGCCCTCCCGTTAGGGGTGGGATTGGCTTCCTGCCGTTGTGAATCTCTGGACTGCCTCACTACTGCCTCTTTAAGTTCTTAGATTCCATCACCCGTGTGTATTAAATTCTCTGTTTTGAGTATTTGTAGTGGTTCCTGTTCTCCTGATAGACCTGACTGCCACGCTATATTCCCTCAGCACCACTGAGAATACAGTGGGAGCTCTCCACATTGGTTGGATAAAAACATGGAGGATTCGCTTACACACTAAGATAGAGGACCCCGTCTCCATTCTTACCAAAATTCGGGGACTCTAAAGCATAAAGAACCAACTGTCTTTCCAGCTTCAAGTCTTTGAGATTCTTTTTTTAAAGATTTTATTTATTTATTTGAGAGAGAGAGAATGAGAGAGAGCACATGAGAGGGGGGAGGGCCAGAGGGAGAAGCAGACTCCCTGCTGAGCAGGGAGCCCGATGCGGGACTCGATCCAGGGACTCCAGGATCATGACCTGAGCCGAAGGCAGTCGCTTAACCAACTGAGCCACCCAGGCGCCCAAGTCTTTGAGATTCTTGAAAAACACAAGCAGGATTGTGAAGTTGTAGTTTGGGCACCAATGGAACATAGCATAGTTGGCTTGAAGGAACCCACACATGGTCCAGGATGTCTGAGGTGAAAACAAGTCCTAATAGGGTGATGAAAAAAATGCTCTAGGAGAGGTGGTCGATGAGTGCAAGTAGGGTGCCATGGAGTCAGGGGGACTTCAGTGAAGAGATGAGCCTGAAGGTTAAGGAGGTATTTATCTGGAGGAGAAGATGGGGATAGGAATTCCCTGCAGAGGGAACAGATTGTGCAAAGGTATGGAGGAGCAAAAGGGCTGGATCAGACTGGAGAACTTTGAGATGGTCCGTGTGGCTGGGGCTTGGGAGACACAGAGGAATGTGGAAGGAGGCCTTGGTGGGTGGGCTATGGAATTCAACTGTTCAGGTTCAAATCCCAGCTCCACCACTTTCTAGCTAGCTAACTTTAAGCAAGTTACCTTTCTGGAGGATCAGGTTCCGTGTCTGTGCAATGAAGATACCTACCTAATATGGTTTGAGAGAGCTTCAATATGATGATGTATATAAATGCCAAGCAAATAAATGTCAGTTATTATTCCTCATATTATAGTCTTCGTATGTATGTTATGTGAGTTGTTATCACAGGGTCAAGCCCTCTGCACAAAATCAGCACTTATAAAGACGGATCCTGCAGCTTGCTATTTGCCACCCAGGATAAATGCTTTGCCTTCTACCGTTTCAATGAGAAATTGGGCTGGACCAATTTCAAAGAGAATTCGGGCTAGATCAAAGCTAGCTAGAATTACCCAAGAGAAACACCAGTGAGAAATGCCATTTTTCACTCCCCTTTCCAAAGGGGGTGCTTGGTTGGGCCATGGGGGATGGATGTCCACTCACCTGTGGATGGAGGTCAGTTTGGTGGATTTCCTGCCAGTGGAGAACTCAGAGCAGTAGAAGTCAGCCTCGGCCCAAGTCTTATTGAGAGGGAAAAATCTATAGCAGTGGCCTTTGAACTCCATCCAGAACAGTGGGCACAGGGAAGCCCGCGGCAGCTCCGGCATGCCTGTGGGCAGAAAGAAAACAGACTGGCAGGAGGGTGGGCGGTGCGCAGACATTGTTCCTACAGCTTGTGACGTCTTTTCAAGAGTGAACATAAAACATGGCCCATTATGATTAGTAAAATTCTACGCTTGAGGTCCAAAGAACACGTGCATACCTAACATTTACCAAATGACAAGAGTAATATACGCTTATTATAGAACACTTGGAAAAATGTTACTGCTCTGGTGTATTTTTCTTCATGTCACGCTTGAATGCAGTGATTTGTAAAAATTCAATTGTTATATTGTACTATACATACCTGTGAGTATTCCGAGTTCCAAAAATGAGAACGTATTTCCCCCACGTCATTATAAATTTTTGTAAACATGGTTTTAAATAGCTCTCGAATCCTCCACTGAGTGGCCCCCCTTGAGTTGATTTAATCATTCCCCTATTTGTGGATAATTAGACTGGTTCCCTTTTTTAAAAACAATTACACCCAGTGCTGAGATGAACAGCCCTTGTGCATCAAGCTTTTTCAGCATTTCTGGTGATTTTCCGAGGAGAGATTTTTAAGGCTTTGATACAATTTTGCTAAATTGCCTCCTGAAAGCAATTTATACTCCCACGGTAATGCCTGAGAGTGCCCATCTCACAGTGCCCTTGCCAGTGCTGAGTGTTATCACTTTCATGGCAATCTTTGCAAATTTTATAAGCAAAAAATGGTATCTTGTTTCAGTTTGCAATTCTGAGCTCTCTGGTGAGGGCGGGGATTTTTCCACGTGTTTATTGACAAATGATAGCCCACTGAACTATTTATATCTGTAAGCCCATCGAACTGCTGGGGTTCAGGATGTGCTCTTAATTCTGAAAAAAAAAAGCACACATGGAAAACCCATGATTGAGACAAAAAAGTTCTCCCAAGCATCAGCCCCCCTGAAGGCTTCTTAGGAGATACTCTTTTTGGAAACGACTCAAGATGACTGGCTGGGGGGAGGAAGACACGCCGAGAACCTTCCTTGAACAACGTTAGGTGGCGCCCCCGTAGCAGTGGGCGGTGGTGAGACCTGTTGGACTGGGATCTGGAGCCCGGGGTCCCAGCCACCAGCAATGGCACATTCCCTCCCTTCTTTTTTTTTTTTTTAATTTTTTTTTTTAAGATTTTATTTATTTATTTGAGAGAGAGAATGAGATAGAGCGAGCATGAGAGGGGGGAGGGTCAGAGGGAGAAGTAGACCCCCCGCTGAGCAGGGAGCCCGATGCAGGACTCGATCCCGGGACTCCAGGATCATGACCTGAGCCAAAGGCAGTTGCTTAACCGACTGAGCCACCCAGGCGCCCTATTTATTTATTTTAAAAGGATTTTATTTATTTATTTGACAGAGAGAGATAGCAAGAGCAGGAACACAAGCAGGGGGAGTGGCAGAGGGAGAAGCCGACTCCCCACTGAGCAGGGAGCCCGATGCGGGACTCGATCCCGGGACTCCAGGATCATGACCTGAGCCCAAGGCAGTCGCTTAACCGACTGAGCCACCCAGGCGCCCACATTCCCTCCCTTCTGAGCTGTCAAACTGGCTGACATTTGGGGTCCCTTTTGCGGCCACGCAAGGACGTGGGATCTTTGCCTTTCCAGCCACTGTAATAGCTGGCTGAGCTCTTGAATAATTAAGTAGTGGACAACACTCTCGGAGCATTTGTGACGTGCCAAACACATACAGGGAAACCGAGGCTTAGACAGGTCAAGTGACTTGCCCAAGGTCATCCTGCGAGTCCGTGGCAGATAGGGATTTGAACTCAGCCTTGGGACACCATAGTCTTTGATCTTAAAGTCCGCAGGATGTTTCATCAAGGGAAATCAACAGGGCTGAGAATGGTTAATAGTCTTTTAGCACTTACTTCAGGAGGTTGGTAGGCCAACTAATTGGGCCAGATCAATTCGCGGAATGCGTGGCATGTATGGACCGCTCTGTGATAGTATGATTATTAATGATTAGCTCAGGGGTTCATAACCAGGGTTGATGGGGCTTCGGGGATCCAGCGAATCCCCTGAAATTAAATGCAAAATCAAAAGTGTGTATGTGTGCGCGTGCACATGCGTGTACCTCTGTGCATTTATTTGGGGGAAAGGAAGAGTCAGTTGTTTTAATCGAGAGCTCTGCTAAGCAGACAGGTTCCATGCTTCCCATCACTGACCAGAGCCACTGGTCTTTCTTGTTTGACCAGAACCAGCCCTTCCCCCACCCAGGCAGCTGTGCTCGGCAGTCCTGGCTTGTCCCTTCTGCGTGTTGCTGAGCTCTTTGTAGGGATTTTGTGGCACTGCATTTTACGTAGAGAGAGAGAGAGAGCAATAATTAAATGAAGGGGTCTGGAAGGGGAAAGGAGGGGGCAAGGGTCCTCGCTCCCCTCTCCCCAAGGCCCAAAGGCTTCTCCTGGGTCCTAAAGCCTGGTGGATATTTTAAATCAAGTCTCCCTGTGGAAAACAAGCTCCCTCCTCCACTCTGCTGGTTCCTTGATTTTCTCCACTGAACAAACACGTCTGGAGTGAAACATACCAGAAAATGGGGCTGTGACAGGTCACTGCTTAATTACTCCCTTTTCCACCTGGGCAGGCAAAGGCCTTTAATTGGAAGGATCTGGGAGGCAAAAAGCCACGTGTTTGCACTGGGATGATAATGAACTCCACCCTGCCTGGTATCCCGCACCCCCTTTGCCTCTGGGATTTGAGAAACTGAGAACTGAAGGATCTCAGAGGCCATTCATCAGCCTGAACCCCGAAATAGCCTTCGCTAATCCGTGTCTCTCTTGTGAAGGGATTTCTCTAGGTTTATAGCTTTACAAGTCAGATAATGATGGCAATATAATAAACAGGATCAACACTACTGAGCTTTCATCTGAGCCAGGCATTGTGTCAAGTTCTTTGTACATAACAATTCATTTAGCGTTCACACATTCTACAAGGTAGGTACCACAATCACTTCCACTTTACAGAGGAAGAAACCTAAGGACAGAGAGGTTGAGTAACTTGTCCAAGATCACACAGCTCCTAAGCGGCAGAGGTAGTTTTTAAAGCCAGGCTATATGGCTCCAGACCTAATTTAGGGATTCCTGCTGCATTTAAGCCCATTTCCTTTAGTCTCAGTCTTGATGGCCTGGTCCTTCATTCACTCCTCTTCATTCAACAAGTCCTATCGGAGCACTACTTGGGCTCAGGCAGTTAGTTGGCTAAATGCTGGAGATACTGTGGCCAACTACACAGAGGTGGCCTCTGACCTCTTGGGTCTTACAGTCTAATGGAGACCGACATTAAGAAAAATAAGCACAGATATAAAATGTCATTAATGTGCCATTTGTGGATGCGTGTCATGCAGGCAAAAACTTGAGGGAGCAGCCCCCAAATTATTTTTGGAAGCTGGTTGTTTGCCCCCTTTGTCTCCCTAGTTGAACTGGTGGCCGCCCCAACCCTCTCTGCAAGGAGCCTGTGGGGTGATTAAGACAGGGCCCCAGAGTCCCCTTCCCAGATGGGGGAATTTCAGGGAGTTGCCATAGGAGCACCGAAACATGTCATATAAGGATTTGGAGATCTGGGAGGCTTCCTGGAGGGGATGATATCTCATCTGACACCTGAAAGGTAAGAGTCAGAGAAAATGTTTCAAGTGCTGTGTGGACACAGCAGGTGCAAAGGCCCTGAGGTATGAGAGAATGGAACATTTGGAGAACATTTGCAAATGGTTTAGCCAAGCTGGGAATCTGAGGGTGGCGGGGAAGGCAAGAGATGAGGCCAGAGGTGACAGGGAGGGGGGAGGGGTAGAGACAGGAAGGCATGCACAAAGGAGCTTGTTGCTCGGGAAACCAGGAGGCCAAATGGTAAGGTCTTTTTACCTCAATTACCAGCACTAAAGGTCACCAAGATCTCCCAGCTGGGGTGGGAGTCAAAGTCTTTGGGAGCTCTGAGCTTGTGAAGAAAAAAGAACACACCAGTGGAGTTCAGGGCTCATTTTTTTCTCTCTCTCTCTCTCTTTTTAAAAGCATAAATTGTCACCTTCCCACTCAATCTGGCTGCCTGCTCCCCTGGCCCCAATCCAGCCGCCTACAAATGCACTACCCTGCTGCCTCCTGCCCATATCAGCCTTGAGAGCCAGCCAGGAGAGGAGGTGAGGAAGGCTCTGGGGTCCACATCCCAACCCCCACCCCACTCCCACTACTGGGCCCCATATGTCCCAGGAGACAGGAGGAAGAGTCTCCCAGTGTCCTGGAAGGTGGCGACTGGGAGGGCTCTGTCACCCTCACTGCCTTTCCTTCCTGCTGTCTCCCTGGTTCACATGTCCCACCATCAGACCATCCTCCTCACCAGTGAGTCCTGGCTCTGGTTTCCAGAGCTGGTGGTCCTGGGCCTCTCGTGTCTGAGCTCTGCTTTCCCTTCTCTGGGCCACGCTTGTGGCCACATGATACAGAGGAAAAAAGCACTGGGCCCTTTCTTCTATTGCCCAAACAGCGGCCATTCATTCGGTGGTGAGTATGTAACTGCTGAGACCAGCCTCGGAGGGTGTCAGTATCATCCCCATTTTACAGCTGAGGAAACTGAGTCTCGGAGAGGCTAAGTCACTTATTCCCACAGCTAGCAAGTGGTGGTATCGGGATGAACTCAGAATTCCCCAAACACTAAGCGCCTCCGGAAAACATCTTTTTTCTGCCCTTGGTTTTCCCATTTACAAGACAAATATATTAAACACCAAATTCAACCACATCATGGATTGAATGTGTGCGTCTCCCCCTCCTCAAATTCATATGTGGAAGCCCTAATCCCCAATGTCTTTGGAAGGGGGGCATTTGGGAGGGGAGTAGGGTTAAATGGGGTTATCGGGGGGCACCCATGATAGGATTAGTGCCCTTATAAGAAGAGAAAGAGAGACCAGCGCTCCTGCACCCCCACTTTTCTCTCTATTTGTGAGGACACAGCAAGGTGGCCATCTTGGACCCAGCAAGAGTCCTCACCAGGAACCAAATTGCTCAGGATCTTGATTT